GAATACTTGTAATTATTATGCCTACCTTTAAGATACCAATTTCTTCGTGTTCCTCTACACCATAGATAGGAAGCGAGTTATATTTTTTAGCCTCTCCTAATGCATATTCTCTTATATTAAAATTAGCGTATCTACAATCATTTTTTCAAATGATATATTTTACTTAATACGGATGAAATTGATGGATTTCTTCCCTTATCTTACCCTATTTCCACACACTCTTTCATATCTGTTTCTTCCGGAAGTGGTTCACAAACGACAATGAATCTTATATTAGGATTAGTAGTATTGTCCAACATCGCACGTAAGATATCGCTTTGCACCGAATACTTATCTTCGCTTATTCGAAACACTGCGAACAATATTTTTCTTATTTTTTTTCCAATTTTTTTTTCTTTTCTTTTTTTTTTTTTTTTTGTAAAAGAGACTGTTTTTACTTACGTTTCTTAAAATTAAATTCAAAAAACTTGTTCGGATAGGATGGTTTTCTCACCGAAATCGTTTCCATATCAGCGCCGCAATAACCCAAGAAGCAATACTCGATGTAAAATAGTTCGTAATCGGGATTCTGCATAACATAAGATGTCGAAAACAAATGCATGTTTATGATTTCGATGATTATCACATCCTTCTCAATTTCCTGGGGGAAAAAACAAGGGAATTCGTATGAAATCTCTGGGTGAAATCTTAATCTTTCGCGATTAAAGAACGAATTTGAGAAGAAAATTACGTTATCATTGGATTCATCGATGACAGGTTCTTGGATTTTTACGGAATCTGAAAGTGATTCTCGTGAATAATTCTAATTTATCCAGAAAATCAATTGCTAGATCGATTGCTAGATACATGCCCTTGGCAGTTCGAAGACTCCGTTCCTTATACTTGTTCCAATTTTTCTCCACTATCACGTCGGCCACTTCCTTAATCGTGTCGTTTGATTTTTCCTCGTTTACGTCAATATCCTGAATTTATATATCGCGAATCGAAGATTAAAAAAAGATGAAAAAAAGAGAATCGAACGAAGAATCTTGAATCATATTAGCTATCGTATCAAAAGCATTGAAATATTGCATTTCCCTTACGTTCTCTTTTTCTAGTTCTTTGAAAAATAAATCCGGGTCCAACCTCTCTTTAGGTACAAATCTACTCAAAAGTGGCATTTTTAAATTTAATTTTTTTTTTCTCTTAACCATCTTATCACCAACCTTTCGTTAAAATTATTTTCTTCCTCGTTCGTCGTTTCCTCATTCGACTCGGTTCTCCATTTAAACAGCATATTGTTGAGTAGAACATCCTTTATAGAGGCGTTAGTTTCCTCATCGGTCTCCTTCATCACGGTCAAATTCTCTTCCAAATCGGGGAGCTTTTCGAGAACGATCGACTGTACTTCGTCAGAATCATCTAAAGAAAATGGATCGGTGTTTAAACAGGATCAAGGATTATTCCATCGTTCATATAAAACGTATTTTATTATTTATCCATCATCTCCTCTGTACTTGATTCGTATTGAACTTCGGGATCTTCCTCGGGAGTCGTCTCTTCTTTCGGCTCCGTTATTACTACCTTCGGCACTATCTCTTCTTTCGGCACAACTTTCGGCACAACTTTCGATTCCAATTCTTTCTTTGGTTTCTCAACATCCGACACTATTCCACGCCTCTTTTTGAAAGCCTCCACCTTCTCGAGATCGCAACTCAATCTGACCCACAAGGACAATTGGCCAAAATTCATGCCGACCGTGCACGGGATAACGCTGTTCACAGGGGCTATATAGTGGAGCTTGTTCTGAGGATAGTCCAATATATCCTTGATGCAAAGCTTTCCCCTGGCCACTATAAAATTTTTGTTATCCTCTTGATACACGTTCACTTGAAATATGACGAATTCTAGAAGGATATAGTTGAAAAATGAGAACAGATCCGGGATTCGATATACGAAGGACGAGTTGAAGTTTAATTTGGGACACTTGAGGGTGGGCGTGTAGGCAGTTTCTTGATTCCAAATGTTCCAACTCACGTATAACGACACGTTACCAAGATCCTTCTCTTGGAAAAGTATCTGCTTAGCCTGGTACAACAAACGATCGATATTTCTCAAAATTATGTATACGCGTATTGGGGATATTCCGTTTCGTGATACTACTAACGGACGTTGAAAGTTGCAAGGAAACGATGTGAAGCTCGACAAGGCCCTGACCTTCCCCGATCACCAATGGAAACGAATCGTTGTTCGAAATATCGATGCAATCGATATTTGGACATTCCAAGCTGCAATGGGTTTCCGATTCGGATTTATGTTCTCGTTGCAAGAAATTTTGTATCGGATCCATGGCTTGTACACTTTCCGCAATTTCATTCATCTAAATTTTCGTGATACGATCTTTCTTAATGAACAACGGCGTTCGAATATTTATTAAATTATAAATTAAACAGAATTATATTTGTCTTACTTGGTATCCAAGATACCTCACCTCGGTCATAAATTCCTTGTATTTATCCAAATGCTTGACGTAATCCTGCAACGATGCTGGAGAGTTCATCGAGATATTCTTCGGATTCTCTCCGTTCTTTTTTTCATTTTTATTCCAAGATTCGTATGGAGAAACATCATTCTGCAACTGACTTCAAAAGACAAAACATGAATTTCGCGAAACGAAATCAAAATTATTTAAATAAAAATTATCGAGATTCGATATGCGTTCCCGAAATTTGTATATTTTCGATATTTGTTGATGATCTGATAATTTTGATTCCAAGAATTTCGCGACATAATTTGGAAAAAAAAAACGAAACTTAACATCCTTCGTTTCGTTTTTTTATTATATTTCCGTTATGCTAATCGTATTCCGCGATTAATCTCCCCATTAATAATGTATCAACATGTTACCGATTTCACCAAGGTATTGCAGCAATGAGTACATTTCCCATCGTATTTCAAATTGGTACAAGTGCAAGTGTTGTTGATCATCTTGATTCGATGACGTTTCTTCGTATTGGAAATTTTTTTCCTTATCTTTTCTTGCTTGTAAGGGCTACAACAAATTTTCTTTGAAGAGGGAATGCTTGACACGTCGTCATTGTATACCGTTGTTTTTACATCGTTATCGATGTTGGGAAATTTTGCACGTTTCGCCGGACGATAGAGAGTAGAGGCTTCCTTGGGTATGGTGCAAGTCAAAGAATACTCTTGAAGAATATTAAACAATACGGATATCAATTTATTCGGATCTGCCGATTGCTTTTCCAAAGGAATTATCTTGTCTTTCCTACTCTGATGCTGAAGTTTGAGTTCAAAAGTTTCTTGCTTTGCTTTTTTCTCTGTAGAACTGTAACACAGTGTCTGACGATAATTTTTAGATATATTTTATCTACAATTTAAATTGTTAATATTACACGGAAAAGGAAGAAGAAAGAAATAAGATAATATATTAATATCAAGACAGAAATTTATTATGCTGTTCTATTAACTATAAATCTTAACTATATTATTATAGTTTATTAAAATATACGATTATATATCGTTCCAACGAACATGAAAATCTTCCAACAAATATTCGGAAGCTTTAAAGATTCTCGTACTCTCATTAGTCACAATTATTATCATTATCTAATTTATCAGGAAGAATGATATTAAACCTTCCAATTTCAATGAACACAACAAAATTTTTTTAATTATAAATCTAAACGTTATATCGATATCAAATCACTTGACCGACATAAAAATAAATAAACACAAGACTAAGATAATGCGAACAATAATCGGACAACCAATAATTAATCAACAATAATCAAGAATCTCCAAAGAGCAGTTTCTCAAGAGAGACAACTTGCCTTTGTCTCTGATATTGATCCAAAATATCGTAATCAATGTCAGTGGCCGTGCTTCTCTGTTTTATTGCTTCCGGACATGTTGTACCTATTTGCGCTTCTTCTAAAAACTTCAACATTTTGTCTGGACTCAAGCTATAGCACTGTGAATCCGTGATCATGGCACGTTTCATACTTTCCGAGCATAGAGTTTGAGATTCGGAATTTATAACTTCTTTTATCAATATTTCTTTCTTAGATGCTACAATCTCGTTATAATCCTTCCCATCCACAACGGTCGTTTTCACAATTTCTGTTTGCATCGATTTATTCTCGACTGTTTTTATACGAGAATTATACAACATGTTCTTATGTAAATCTTCGTTGTCTATTGGCTCGCAACATTTCTTGCATTTCTCTTTTTTCACTGCGTTTACCTCTTCATATTCTAATTCGGAACACTTGCGGCACTTTATTTGGGCCTCGATATTTTTACACATCAAATCATGTTTCGTAGGTAATGCTGATATCTGCATGTCAGAGAAACATATCGATATCTGCGCGTCCTTAGCTTCCGCTTTCTCCGCTTGCGTCTGATAACTCTGAAATAAAATCATTGTTACATTTATTGATATTCTAAATAAATTCATCGAGTAGAATATCGATCTATCCGACGATAAAAAGAAAAAAAAATAATTTTTTCGATCGAAAAATGAAGATGGAATTTATTTGAAGAGATCGACATTATCGATTCGGGGAAAAAAAATTACTGACCGTTAAATTTTCTATGTTTTTCTGCAATTCCTCGAGTTTTCCCAACAATTGTTCGTTCGAGGTTTGCAACGCAATGATATTAGCCTGTTCGTTATCAACAGCTGTTTTCAAAGTCTCTTGATCGTGTTGTTGATCGATGACTTTTTTCTTCAATTCCTTGTTCTCTATCTCCACTTTTGTATATTTCGAGTTCAGTATTATAAGTTCCTCGTTGTGTTGCTGCAGTATCTTTACCTCTTTTAGGAGATCTTTTATCTGCTCGTTCTTTTCTCGTAACGAAAGTTCAGAATCTTTCGTTTTCAATATTTGCTCGTCGATCTCCGCTATTCGTTTCTTCTCCAATAAAAGCTCTGACGCCATAATTTCGTTCTTCCTAATTGCATAATATTCTTTTCTATAAATCTACTCAAACTTTTTATCTTATAAATAAGATAGCACAGCGTATAAAATTTATTTGGTCTGATATGGAAACAGATTTTTAAGATAAAATTATTTATAAGAAAAAAGTGGTCAAAAGAATACTGATGATGATAAATTCAAATGCAAAATCCAAATCATCATGCAAATCAAACAGAAGGAAAAAAAGAGGATAAGAATAAGAGGCATTTACTTCGTTTTCTCGTCGAGCTTTTTCTTCAAATCGTCGATTTGTGCGGTCAATGACCCGTTCTCGTTTTCGGCGGTTATTAGTTTATCGTTTATTTGCTTCATTTCTCGCCAAATCTTTATGTACTCGACATTGTCTGCTACTTTCTCTCTTTGGCAAATAGTGGTATAAGTGGCTACCTCTTTCTCTAATTGAATTATTCGAGAACACATTTCACTTTTCTGCGATTCCAATTCCTGTTCGACAAATATACAATTTTGAAAATGCATCATCCCTATTTTTTTACGATTAATAAATTTAAATATTGAAGAGGAATCATACATATTTATTATTTAATTATTTATTAAATATTTTAATTAACCACATCGATTTTATTACCTCGATTTTTTCAAGATAGCTTTGCACGTTGGACGTATCATCGTCTAAACAGTGACAACATAATTTGGTACGGCTGCTTTCGCTACGGCAAGTTCTGAAACAAGGATCTCGATTCAGTTATCTATCATGATGAGTGTGAATCATAGATCGTTATGGATCACTTGTAATTGTGATAGAACGCTATACACTTACATGCGTCCGGATGATGGCCTCACGCGAGTTTTTGATGACGATCTACTGCTTATCGTATGACTCAATAGTTGATTTTTCAATACTGTGATTTTATCTTTGAGCTGAAAAATCAATTGCAATGTTATCAAATTAATCGTAACAGTTATCTATTTGAAAATGGATTTAGCAAGAGATTTCATAAAGAATTTATTTAAGGATGAAATATTTATTCTTTTTTTTTTTTCTATTCTTTTATTTATTTTTATTTCTATATCTTTAAATTTTTTTGTAAAAATGAGAAAAAAAAATTTAACTCTTACCTTGGAGTTCTCAAGTTCAAGAGCGATTATTTTATTTTTATCTTCATAAATGTTTAAAGCAAGCGAACATGGCCTTGTACTTGCGGTTACTCTCATCAACTTTGTTGCCAATCGTTTAATTTTATCCTCCTGACAATTTGTTAGTTTCTTCAAGTTATTTGCTTCCTCGAGTAATCGCAAATATCTATCCTCCAGTTGATAACGATCGAGTTTAATTACGCAATGCCGATCCCTGGGATCTTTAAGTTGTTTAAAATAAAAATTATAAAAATGAAAAGTAATATTATCGTAAAAGATAGATACGAACCTATACTACTAAAAGTATCCGTACAAGAACCTTCTCTGACAGGCAAAAGGTCTCGATTTGGATCATCTGCCATAATTTCAGCGTTATGCGATATTACCTAAAAACTATTATAAAACTAATTATTACATTAATATTACGCTAATATGAAATGAATTTAATGAATAATGAAATATTTTTAAAATCATTCAAATATTTAAAATTTTTTAAATTAAAAAATTCAAAAAATTTTAATACTTATTCAAAATTGTATATATAATGTATATTTAAATCTAAAATTAAAAAAAATAGATCCTTATGCATAGAATATATTCGTTTATTTTCAATGCAAATACATGCTATGTTCTATTTTAAATTTAAATTTCTTTCTTTTCTTTCTTTCGTTTCAAAAGCTATTCAAATTTTAGCGGGTAAATCGACATATCCGGCGATGATTTTTTAATAAGAGATCATTTCTTGATATAAAAGTTTATGCAAACAGATAAAAATATTTTAATAAATTACCCTATCTGTTTGTACATAAACCACGTCTGTCTGAAAATTTGTAGAAAAGATCACGAATGCTATTCGAAGGTTATATTCGTCAAGATTCGTTGAATACAGTAGTTGTCTCCGAAACGAGTAATTAGAATTCATTTCTATATTTTTCCTTTGTTACATCTTCTCTCTTGAATATATTTTTTTCAAAGAAAAGTATATATAGAAATAAATATTAAACATATTTATTTCAATAAGAAAAATAATTTATGTTGTATTCTATTTATAATAATCGTAGCATGTAAGTCATTATATAATTTTATAATCTTATTATATGAAAAAATGTTAAAAATAAACTTATCGTATAATTATTCACTTTCAATATAAAAAATTAAATAAATATATTAAATATATGTATATAATATTTTTTCAGAATAAATATAATCATTTGTTAAGCGTATGCATCACATATATATGTTTAAGTGTATGATTCATCACATTATTGGAATGTGAGGAAGTATAGAAAAATATGTATGTCATAGAGTTGATTAAGAGAATAGAGATACGTATCCCCTTTGTGATGCGTCACCGGGTATATGGGGCAGTGCTTCGATACGCCGGTACAACCTGCACTGCACTAACCTTGGTTTGACATCGCGGAGTGTGCGTGCCAGTGGAAAGGTAAGATGGCGGCGGACGGAGATGTGATTCCTGATCAAGAAAAAGTACGAATAGTTTCGGATTTTATACTGCACTCACCACCAGGCGAATTCAACGAGGTTTTTAATGATGTGAGAGTCTTGTTAAACAACGACAACCTGTTGAAGGAGGGTGCGTCTGGAGCATTTGCTCAATACAACAAGGATCAGCTCACGCCTGTTAAGGTACATCATCGACCTCTCTGATGAACTTTTATAATTTTTTGTGATAGTATCTGGGATATTGTTTAGTATTTGTGGTAATCGAAGGTTATATTATCCCCGGGAAGTGTTGGATCAAATTTCAATGCCTAGTAACATTCCTAATTGAGCAACACGCGTTCGGAATTTCGACAGGTGACATTGACTTTATAGTGAAATTGGAGCGCGATAATGTTCACCTGGCTGATGTGATTGTTTATCTAAAGAATCCTCGAATCGGTACACAACAGTTGCTATGTGAAAATCATAGTGAAATTTCCATTGAAATCGTACGCTGCAATAGGGTTAATTATAGTTACATTTCGTAGTGATTTTAATAAATTTAAAAGAAAATATTTAAGATTAATTAAATTGATAAAATTAATTCAATTTTGATTTCATTATATAATTTGAGAAAATAATTTTTATTTCATAATTTTATCAGTTAGATTCAGTTAAAGTAAGGTTAGATATCAATATAATTCATTATAAGTATTTTGTACCATGAAATTTTTTAATTTGTGAATTTTATGTTAATATCTATTCATTTGTTTCATTTTTATGACTTCAGATTGAAGGTAGCGAATATCCTGCTCTTATAACAGAACACAATGATCTAGGTGGGCAAAGGTTTTATGATGCTCGCAGCAAGCAAAGTTTTAAATATGACCATCTTAGAAAAGAAGCACAGGATTATGAACCATATGAACCAGATTCTGTGGCTGAACCTTGGAGATCAGCTCTTCAAGATGAAATAACAACTTATACTCAAAGTCATTATAGACATGGTGCATGTTCAGTTTTTGGAAAGAGTCAAGGAGGTATTATTTACTTTCTTATATTTTATTAAAGTTTAGTTGTTTGAAAATAGCAATTATAAATAAAAAATGGTATTCATTTATATAGGTAACATTACCTTAACGGCTTGCATAGAAGATCATCAGTTTCAACCTAAAAATTTTTGGAATGGCCGTTGGCGTTCTGTATGGACTGTAAGTTTTAGTCCAAGTTCTGGAAATGCAGAATTAAGAGGTAGTCTTAAAGTACAAGTTCATTACTATGAAGATGGAAATGTACAACTGGTCAGTAGCAAAGAAGTAAAAGAAAGCTTACCAATCTCAAGTGAAAAACAAACAGCAAAGGAATTAATACGGCTTGTTGAGGAATCAGAAAATGACTATCAAACTGCTATATCGGAAAATTATCAAACAATGTCTGACACAACTTTTAAGGCCTTACGAAGGCAATTACCTGTTATGCGAACGAAAATTGACTGGAACAAAATTGTATCGTACAGTATTGGCAAAGAGCTTAAAAGTCAATAGAAATAGATTTTTTATATAATATTAAGAGAAATAATTAAAAAGCGCATTTTGCTGCATGGGTGAAGTCTGGAGGTGTGATGTGCATGGGAGCAAATATAATGATGCTATATAAAGTTTGGTTAAACATGTTTTGACTGAAACTCATGCATGCCACTCAAGGTTCCTCTGGACCCCTTAATGTATCTTGTTACCAACAAAAATAATAAAAAGGAACGTCATTGTAGTTATCGATTCTTTAAAAAAAAAAAAAAAAAAAAAAAAAAAAAAAAAAGAAAAAAAAAAAAAAAAAAAAAAAAAAA